AGAGAGAGGAGAGAGAGAGAGAGAGAGAGAGAGAGAGAGAGAGAGAGAGAGAGAGAGAAGGAGAGAGGGAAGGAGAGAGAGACACGAACGAGGAGGGAGAGGAGGATCCTGCGCGTGCCTCGGGGCGAAGTCTTGGGCCTCGCGTGCCCAGGCATGGCCTCGTCTCACTCTTCGGTCTTCACGGTCAGAGGTCATCCTCGAGCACGAGCCACCTTCGGGTTCTCAACCTCCCTCGCCGTGAGTTGCCGACGCCGACGAATAAACCGCATTATTAACGACCGTTCTCGCCCGAGAGACTCGCGCCCCGCGACTCCACGGAGGCTCGAAACTCGCGGCGCTCGACATTAATGAACTCTCGAAGGGTCGCGCGCGAGAATCTCGTACGCGGAGTCGAACGCGCGGGATCGATCGCGAATTTGCCGAATCGTCCCGAGCCGAAATTTCGACCCTACTTTCGTCCACAATACTCCGCTTGACAATTTGATATCTTTGCTTGGCTTACTCTGAAGCCAGTATTGATCGAACTTTCTAACATTGCCGAGGAACGTCCTCCTTGAAACGTACAAACAGCATTTTGCGCACTTTTCGTTACTTAGAGACGCCAAGTAGTACTGCAGTTTCTACTAGTATGTAGAAACTAGTATGTAGAAACTTCTTCTAGTATGTATTAAACATACACTGATCCTTCAGGATATTAGAACGTTAGTAAAACTAAAATTCGAAAGTAAAACTAAAATTCGAAAGTAAAACTAAAATTCAGACAGTCTCGTCCTTTTTCCGTTTCCAGCGGAGATAGACATCGAGTCCGCATCCATCCTCATCCCAACGAGCGTTTCTTTTTTTTCTTTTCCCCGCAGTCTGATGTTTTTAATTATACGTAACTCTCGGATTCGGTCGGCTTGTCGTTCGCGGCTATTGTCACATGGCGGGATGTCGTTTAGCGGTCCGGACGCCATTCGAATTTGCTAAACGGACGCACACGACCGCAGATAATAGCGCATAAATAAATATTTAACCAAGCGGTTTATTTATTTTGCTGCCGCGAACTCTAACAGCTCCGAGCGATCGAACTTGCACCGTGTACATAACGTGATTTACTCATTTGCACTCATACACGCGGCGGTTCAAGAGCGGTGGATTAATCAGAGGTCCCGCGGTAGTAACTGCTTGACATAATTACGAAATCCTTTTAATTACGCACGTTTTATACGCGCGCGCGCCGGTGGTGCGAGAGGAAAAGAAGACGAGAACGAATTAACCGAGCATGCACACGAGATGCATCTCTCGTCACAAACGCCGCGCGGAAAAGCGCGACGCGTGCGACGGACGTGTTTCCGTTCTCTCGGGAGTTTCTCTCGTCCTCGTAATCATCATTATCATCATCAGCAGCAGCAGCAGCGGCGGCATCAGCATCATCCTCGTGACTCGTGGTGAAAAGCGCGCTCCCCACCGCTCGTAATAGCCGCGACTCGCCGCATTAAATGGAATTAACGATCGGTTGCCAGATATCCTGGCATTTTCTGCCGGTATCCACGTGAGAAACGGAAAACCTTTAAGCCTTTGTCGCGGAGAGGAGGAGGAGGAGGAGGTGAGGGAGGTGGCGCGCGGTGGTTTGTTTTAGCGATCTTGCTCGCGAAGGTGACGGCCAGTTCTCCTCTACGCAGCGGCGGCGGTCGCGTCGTAGCTTTCGCTTCTCGCGCGTACTAATTGAGATGGATGTGGAATTTGCGTAATTACATATTCCGAAAGGTCGAAAAACCGCGGGCGGCCGACCGGCCGCTTTCGGGCGTTCGTGCGTCCGCCGATTTACGGCCGCTCGTGTGGACCGACGTGAGCACGTTATAAGAACGAAAACACATTTCGTCGTCGTGATTGTTGTTGTCAGTTCGACGACGTATTCCTTATTTCCAGCAAATATTTCGCCTCGTGTAGCTGATGCCTTGCGAAATTCATATTTCTCTCTCTCTCTCTCTCTCTCTCTCTAAATCGAAATTTTGATCCTACTTTCAACTTCAATATTTCATTTAACGTGTACTATGAAGCCAACTTCTTTTGATTCTATTTAACATATCAACTTGCCGGAAGGTCTTTAGAACTCTCAAGTAACATTTTGTGCTCTCCAAATTTTTTGAAGTGAAATCTGAAAAAGAAAAGTGACTACCGAGTCACTTGAATTCGAGTGATTTTTTACTCGAATAACACATAAAATAAATTTTCATTTTAAATTATCAAGTGGATATTTTTATTCATTTTTAAAGAGTGAATCTGATACGCTTGTCACGGATGGACATAATCGAGTAAAACACTCGCTCATGATAGAGTCAAAATCCACTTTAAGCTCAAGTGAAACATTCACTCTTGTGATTTCAAATGACAATATTTTCGCTTTAAGTGAAAATATTGCTGCTTTTCACTCGTTTTGAGTAAGATCCACTCCAGAGAAGTTTAGAGACGTTAAATCTTCAGTTTCCACATGTGTATTAAACATACACCGATTATACAGAACATATAGATGTTAAAAAATTCAGATCAAAAGTGGAGTTAAATTTTCGACTTGAGTCTATCTCTCTCTCTCTCTTTCTATCTCTATCTCTGTGCCGTTGCCACGTGTGCGCACCATAAACTCTCGAAATTTGTTGGGGTGAATTACACATGCATACGTAGGGCTGAAGATCGCGCGGTTAACTGCAGTTTAACGTTAAGTCGTGTGTAATAATCTTTTACACGTGTAATCTTTCGGACACACTCGGGCTACCCGAGTCACGAAGTTATCGGGAGATGATAGCGGGTGATAGACAGAAAGACAGAAATGACAGTAATTACGGCGCGCTACAGAACGAGGTTCCCGACGAGAGGGGAACGCATTAAGCGGTTTCGAAAGATGTGCGCGAGCTCTCGCGCAACGATCATTAACAAAAGTCTTATGAGGGCCCGTTCGCAGGATCGAGCGCTCATTCATTTTGCTTAATAACCACAAATTATAGGTTATTGCGACTTCATGGCCTACAACATCTATGGATTTAAGTGTGGTAACGCGGCATTTCGTAACTTTGGCGCCGTCTAACACGCGCCTCGAATCTTCCGTCGACTTGTGTGTGCTTTTTGTCCGAAAGAACCGAGTTGTACGAGCGCGATACCTGGCCCGGCGCCCGATCGCGAGTCGAATCCGGCGTAATCGAACATTTCGTTTAGTACAGCCCGAGTGCCGGTAAGCCGAGATTACTTACTCGAGATAAGTAGCGGAAGGTACTATTCTACTTTAACCGCGTGTCATTTTCATTTTTCTCGTCAGACATGCAGATCCACAAAGGAAACGGAAGGCTCGTATTTTTTGTGGTGTCTGCCGCCATTCCTGTGCATCGCAAGAATGCCGAGCGCGCTTTTTTTTTATTCTCCCGTAGGAGATACGCGGTATCAACTTCAGAACTTGCTGTCTTCAAGAATATCTGGAAATTGTAAGAAAACGTTTAAAGTTCTTACTTCAAGACGGTTTCCCGATGCTTATATGCGCGCGCACGCGTATGCGTGCGTATGTGTGCGCACGTCTGCTGTGAACATCGCGTCTCTCGCTGTCAATGATGAGATGAACGCACAAAGCGCATCGTGCATACAAACGTAGTCCTCCTATCCCCGCGATATCTTCCTTAATGATCAAAGTTGCGGTACAATTCTGGGAAATGATCTTAAATCATAGACCCGGTTTGAGATGATGATAAAACGCCGGTGAAACTCGAACCGGTTCTCATATGGTGGATGTTCCTCCTCTCGGCTCTCTCGTCGGGGAAAATCAATTTTCTCATATGATAGTTTAAAATCACACGCTAGCGTTCGTAAAAAGTCGATCCTCTCGAAATCACTGCGGAGCGCGTGTATTTTTCTAACTTTTAACCTCGTAAGAAACGCACGTCGCGAGTCACCAGTTCATCGCGAACGTTCAACGTCAATAGCAATTACGTAGAGAAAGAGAGAAACAGAGAGAGAGAGAGAGAGAGAGAAAGAAAGAGAGAGAGAGAGAGAG